GTTCGCCGGTGAGGCACAAACCAATACTCGTGGTGCCTTGTAAGGCAGTGAAGAATGTTGGTGTGGATGTTCGCGACTTCACATAAGAACAATATGCCGTGTTCAATCTGTGATTTGTAGAGCTGTAAAAACGATGATGGTATGCACATGCTGTTTAAATGCATGATACCATAAGTGGTAATTAGTGGATCGGGATGCGTTCTGTAAGGCACGTAATTAATCGCTCTAAGCACATTTTTCTGCATTGAGATTATTTTACTAATATTTGTTTTTGTTGAACTTCCCCATATCAATACGCAGTATTTTAACTGCGATTCAAACAGGGCATGGTACAACGTAGGCTTTGGCTTTTCAGACAATAGATGCTGGAATTTTTCTCGAAACACCAACTACATGTGGAAGCTAGCTTACTTTGAAGATGTTCTATCTGACTATCCCAGAGCATGAATTCATTAAAGTAGACTCCAAAGGTTCTGAGGTGTCAGTAATTTCTATAGCATTCCCTCCTAAGGTAAGTGTGACTCTGACAAAAAAAGCTTGACTTCTCACTCTGAAAAATCTTGCTTTAATTTTCCTGGAGTTAAAAGTGTCTCGTATAACCAAGGGTTTTAATACATTGTTTCTACGGGAATTTGCCGGGACCAAACCGATTCGTCATAAAATGCAGGTTGTCGTAAAACCGGGTGACGTATAATCGAAGTTTGGCTGTAGTTGTCCTTCTTTTGCAATGTTTGTTCCTTGCACTCCATTGGGCAAAAGGGTAAGCCTCTGACGTATGACAGATGGTAGATTGCTGGTAATTGCTTAAATTGCTGATAATTGCTTAAAAATATGTGCACATGTATATGAATAAAAAATGTGGTGTTTGAACCATGAAACGTCTCCTACTACCATTACGTACACAGACAAAGCAGCAGTCGGCTTAGCATGGATGATTTCTTTTTTTCCTCTTTTCTATGCTTTTCGTACAAAAAGGACTTTGCAATCGATATAAATAATGTACCTTATTGTACAATTCAGATTGAATAGCCAGGACTCACTCAAGTATACGGCGCACACGACAAATACAATGATTAGATTGTTATCAACTGGGTCTGAAGCGATTGAACTCGCTTCTATATGTATGTAGAAACTCTCAACTTGTGTGCAGGACTTAATCAGCCCGTGATCATTTGTAAATGATAACGGCTCTTGTAGAGCTGGCCATTTGTTTTTAAGCGAGATATCACCTATCTGTGTTGTGTGCAAGCACCTTGATGGGGCCTACAGCAATTCCGAGGAAAGCTTTTTGGAAGGACTAATAGCAACATCACGATCCGGAGATTTCATGCACCTCATGTGCAAATGTGAATGTAAAAATGATCACTTGTTATTAATTAATGTGAAGTTTATGTTCGCACGATATTGCGAGTTCTTAAAAACTCCCATGCCTGAGCAGAAAACGTACCACAGTCACAGAAAAAGCTGGAAGAGCGGCCTTTCTTGCAGCTTCTTTAAACACTATTTCGGTGACTGCCAAGCACACTTGCAGTGTACCCACTGCGCCATAAATCATCATCATTTCACATGCAAAGCGTTTCTTTGCATACTGTAGGCACTTTGGGCATCTGTCTGTCCGTCTGTCCGTCCGTCCGTCCGTCCGTCCGTCCGTCCGTCCGTCCGTCCGTCCGTCCGTCCGTCCGTCCGTCCGTCCGCCCGCCCGCCCGCCTGCCTGCCTGCCTGCCTGCCTGCCTGCCCGCCCGCCCGCCCGCCCGCCCGCCCGCCTGCCTGCCTGCCTGCCTGTCTGTCTGTCTGTCTGTCTGTCTGTCTGTCTGTCTGTCTGTCTGTCTGTCTGTCTGTCTGTCTGTCTGTGCACCTACGTCTGGGTGCTCTCGTGATCAACCCCTTATTTGGGGTAAACCACAATTTTTAGGGGGGGGGGGCACGATGGTTTGACTAATATTACTCGCTGGTCATGACACAAATAATGTCCCAATTCCATAGTGTACGTTGTCAAACCCTTTCTGCCAGACAGAGGCACATACCCGCGGCCGAGTATGTGCCATAAGTATGCAGTTATGTGCCACATGTGATTGACATTCCATATTTATACTCAGAAACGGCAAGAACACACATAGGTAATTTTATTGTGTGACTGTTAAGAAAAAGCTGACATCAGCAGTCTTGACCCAATGGATGCAAAAAAAAAGCCAGGGTCCCAACAAGAGTCAAACCCCAGCATACTGCGTATCAATCAAGTATTCTACTACAGAGCGACGCCAGCTCTCAAAACTGCTTTTCAAGTAGACCCTAATGTTCGTAAAACGTCAATTGTAGTTTCAGTACTAGCTATCCAGTTTTATAAACGTCACATATGTACAGTCGCATGCAATATGAAGGTTATCGCGCGAGTGTCGTCCAGCCTAATGTGCCAGAGTCCCAGCGGCACATTTCTGAGCAATAAAAATAACGATTTTGCCTTCTTCTCTTCCTCATATGCTGTTGCATGCTATAACAATCACTCTTAGGACAAACTCTACACCCTTTCTCTAAATTTTGAGTCTCCCACTGATCGCGATCAAGTGTATTCTTTGTGAGCTCTTATCTCCGCAGCCGATTACAGAACTGCTTGGAAAGGTGTGTTACGGCTGTGCATTGCTTCGTTTAAACAGCTTCCTGAAACAGAAGTGATTGCTGCTTTAGGAACAGCAAAAAAAAAAAAGTGAGTGAAGATTGCGTGATGCCACCCTCTCCTCAAAAGTGAATTCTGGGACATGTTGCAGTTGTAGTTTTTGGACTACGCTCGCACGATAACCTTCAAATTGCGCTCGACTGTACTCCTTTGATACAGCCCTCACGTTGGGTTGACGTCAATGGTAGTTAGGCGCCATTCGGTAAAGTTGATTTATGTAGCAGTGTCCAGGGCTACCATCCTCGCGAGCACCAGTACTTCATATCAGCTTACCCTTTTTAGTGTTGCTAATATACATGTTACTGTTGGCACCGTTACACAACTGTAAGCTAGTTATATAAAACATATGCGGCGTTTTAACGCGCACCTGTGAGTACATTTGTACATATCTTTAGTGTCACTTTACAACATTTGGCTCATTAAAAAAATATGAGACCACTTTCCATGCATGCTTTGCATAACGTCTATTCCCAAAGTACGTAGAATCTGGCATTTTTTTGTGTAGCAGAGAGGCATTCACTATGCCATCCTTTGTGGTTCTTTGATGAAGCGTGGGACGCGCATCACACTTGGAAGAAATTTTTTTGATATGTTTTCATTCTGTGGCTGACGACGATGAAGAGTTATGCCTGAAGCTTTTGTAATGGGATGAAGCATTCGATGACCCACTCATTGCACATTTTGCATAGTGTTATTCCTGAATGTTTCTTTGCTCTGTTCTAAAATGCTCTATTACGCATATTAACACGATTCCTTTCCCGACAAGCCAGCCTATGGTCAGTTTGCTACAGAGTTTCAAGCATCAGCGTGGCTCAGTGGTAGAATACTCGGCTGGCACACAGAGGACCGAGATTCTAATCCACATTTGTACTAGGTGTCCTTTATTTACTCAGTTTGTTCTCATTTCACCTGATAGTGGTAATGGACATCAGCAGCAGTGGCGGACAACTATGCCAAAAACAACATTTGTTGTGATCTCTAACTTTTGCTGTAAAAAAATACGAAATCATGATCCACAAGCATTTTACATTTTTGAGGCCATGAGTGAGGTGTAGCTGACATAGCAACGTCACATGAGCTAGCCACCTTACGAAACTGTTGGAATTGTGTGTGACCATGACATCTGAAATCCAGTAGTTTAATGGACACTTTCATAGATTACGTCAGTGATAAAGCAATCTGAGCAAGCTTGAAAACTATAGTGCGCTGACTTTCACAAAAAACCTGCTGCTATTGGCGGCACCCTGTGATTGTCATGCAAGTGGGAAATGTGGCACCTGGAGCAGCAAAAAATTCAGTATAGGATAACTGTAATTTTTCTTCTAATTTTAAGTTTATTTATGGCATAGATTCGCTATGTTAATTTTCAGAAGTTATTTCAGATTTGGATCATGGTCATTTTAGTATGTTTGACATACTAAAATGAATATAATGCAAATATGGTAATTAGACCAAAAAATTTTGCAGGTCCCACATGCTATTGGAATCAATGTTAGGCAAAGCATGCGGAGGGAAGGCGGATGCTGCCGACGCAAGTTTTTCTGAACTCTCTCGCATTTAATTAACCAATGTCTGATCTCACTGCTCCTGCTGGAGGAGATATAACTGCCAATCACTTGCATGCTTCTCAAAGAGAGGGTTTAATAACATACGGGACGATGTTTCCACGTTATTTAAGTCATAACTGGTCAGACATATTCGTCACAACCTGCAACCCTCCTTTACTAATTATCACGAGAGCACTCAGGTGGGACTAGACGGGGATCACGAAAGCACCTACTACACTAGCTTGCTAGCAAAGAAAGAGAGAAAGAAAGAAACAAAAAGATAGACAGACAAACATAGACAGACGCGAACGGACAGATAGACAGACAGATACAGAACAATTGGAAACAATCCTACTTCCACACGAACGATATCTACCATTGAGCACAATTCGGCCACCATAGATAATTCGCAATGTGTATATCCTGCTGCGCGCTGTAGCTTGAATGGAAGATATAGTTCCCGTTACATAAAGGAACTCGAATCCTCATCAGTTGTATCAAGAGCTCACTGTAGCCAGCCATCATTGTAAAATATAGATAGATAGATAGATAGATAGATAGATAGAAAGATAGCTAGATAGATAGATAGATAGATAGATAGATAGATAAATAGATAGATAGATAGATAGTAATGGCAATAGCACTTGCAGCCTGCTAAGAAATGCTTCAGATTTTAAAATATTGCAAGACCTCTTTAGTGAAATGACATAGGTATTACGCTACAGGCTCATGTGAAAAAAAAAGCTTGTGTTCTCTTTCAGACACTGAATGCTTAGTATTACCTTGAGAATCCCCGCTCTGCTGAATTTCTTTCTGTGAAAACCGTTGCTGTAGGTCCTTCAGTCCTGTTGTCCAATGTCCTTTTGTAATAGAACAGAAAGAGGAGTGTGTTTTCAACCGCTTGGAGCGACAGCTCGGATGTGGGATAAAGGACTAAAGCAGCAGAAGCACGAATTCTAATAGAGCAGCCCAGCTTAAAATATTAAATACCCAGATGTATTTAATTACACAGGGAAGCACTGCCGAAACTGTGGTTGTACACCAGAATTTCAGAAATGTGCAGTACTTTGCACTCATGCCGACCAAAAAATGCGAGAAATAATAGAAGCAGCAGAGAGGACCACGGATGATAGCCAGTGCATCAACGTGCCCTCTACTACACTGTCAAAAAAGGAATTGTGTTTTTCAGGTGTGCTGCCTATAGTCCCTTGTGATTTCATAACTTCCATTTATATATATTTTTATTTCTACTAACTACTGTTGAGCGGAAGCTTACCACTTTGGGGCGTCGTGTTTTTGTGGTAGTGAAGCTGCGCAGGCGCATGGTTACCTATATATTTCACGTGTTTATTCAACGAAATTTAGTTGGAAGTTTAGTGCTCGTGTGTTGAATTATCTTGTCTCTTGTCCCTTAAGTTTTCACAACTTAACAGTTTGAAATATTTTGAAGTTGTGTTTTACACGATAATGGCAAAAACATGATTCCTTACTATGCCTCTTTGCATTTATTATTTTGTTGTGAGCCTTCACTGTGTTTGTTAATCATGCTCGGTTTTATGGCACAAAAGCAGCAATGAGGAGCCTTTATTATGTCTGAGTAAATCTCTTATTGTATAGGTTTCACAAAGTTACTAATATTCCATTTTCTCCTCACAAAATATTGTTCTTTTCAAGTACCATTTTCATGCATGCTCACGCTTGAACAGGAGCGACAACCTAGCAAGTCACCTGTCTCATTCCTTCAGCCATCGCTATAGAAAATTTTAATTTCTTCATAATCAAAAGCAATGAATATGGAAACATGATACCTATATCTGTAGTCTATTTTGCACGACACGACACTATGCACATCACACTCCCATGTTTTGCTTGGCTATGCTCATACAAGCCAGTGAGTGAGGAATACCTCAACTGCTTCATTGGAAATGACATAACATCTCTTCATGCTTTCTATATTAATCTGCAGGAGATATTGTGTTGTTTTTATGAGTTTTATTAACATACAGTAGACTAGCAATAATTCGAACTCTTATAATACGTACTTTCAGTTAATTAAAACTAAATTCAAATTTTGGCCCCTTATGCTTTCAATGTATTTAAAAGCTGCTTGATTCAAACTTCGTCATTCGGTTAATTGGTACTTTCTGCCTATTCATACTGAAAAATTTCAGCTCATTTGCCGACAATATTTGAAAATTTCTGTGCTTATGGCCATCATAACAGTCTACAATTGAAAATAAGCACCTTAAAGCTTCCAGAGAAAAGGTTTCGTTGCATAATTGTTTCTCCGCATACCGCACTGCGTTGCGAAAACAAAAAACGCCCGGCACAGTGGGTACGAAGCTGGCTCGCGGCTTATCTCTGCTTTTCTAAAGTGCGAAACCGGAAGCCAGCCAAGCCAAGCCAACCAAGAAGCCGGTCGACTCCAACGTACCCAAAGCAGGCCTCTTTTTTTGTGTGCTGTGCAGTCTTTCAATCGACCATGTCACCACGAAGCAAGTACCGAATACTACCCCTTAGCGAGAAATTGGTCGTTATCCAAGAAGCCGACGCTGGAGTGAAGAAAAGTGAAGTAGCAGTGAAGTATGAAATCAACAAGAGCACTCTCTCTACGATCCCGAAAGCCAAAAACAAGCTGCAAGGTAACGCGAGCAGGTTCGCTCCCGATCGGAAAAGGCATAGGGATGCTGTGTACCCGGATCTCGTAAATGCCGTGCTTCGTTAGTGAAAGCGCGCACAGAATGCCAATTTACTGATAAATGGGGCAATACTACGAGAGAAAGCAGAACAAATTTCCTTGAGCTTAGAATAACGGTTTTAAGTGCAGTGATGGTTGAATTTCTCGGTTAAAGGAACACCGCGATTTCTCCTTCAAAACAGTGAGTGGTCTAGCGGCAGAGATTGATGAAGCTGTGTTTTCTAACTGGTGGCAGACTAAGCTTCAAAGCTTGCTGTTTGAATACTCCCCAGCTGATATATACAACGCAGACAAAATGGGGTTGTTTTTTAAGTGCCTGCCCGATCAGACCTTGTGTCTGAAGGGCGAACGTTGCACTGGCGGAAAGCTAAGCAAAGAACGGCTAACCGTCATGGTTTGCGCAAATAGGGATGGAAGTCACAAGCCAGAACTGTTTGTTGTGGGCAAGTCCCGAGGTGCTTTAAAGTTGTCCGTACACTCCTAATTGTGACGGAAACACGCAAGCCTGGATGACACAAGCGGTGTTCTAGAGTTGGGTCCGGAAACTGGATAGGCAAATCAAGCGAGCGAAAAGGAAGATTGCTCATTGTTGATAACTACCCCACTCATGGCAACGTGGAAGGCCTGGAAGCAATTCACCTTGAATTTCTTTCTCCCAACACTACAGCTGTCCTCCAGCCCCTCGATCAAGGGGTAATCAAATGCTTGAAGGTTAATTACCAGAAAACATGGCTGCAGAGAATGTTTATATGTATGGACGATTCCATGCCCTACGGTGTCACTCTCCTCTCGTCGGTTGGAATGCTCGCCGATGCATGCAATGCTGTTACACCAACAAATATAAGGAACTGCTTCCAGCATGCCTTCGGCGTACCTGGCTGCAGACTGAGGACTACGACGACGAAAGCCTAGTGCTGTCAGCTCTAAAAGCGCACAACATAGCTGCCGACTTCAACAGTTATGCAGGTACTGATGACCTGTGCGTGTGCAGGGAGAACACACTCGATGACTTGGTGGCAGAGGTATTGCCAGCACAACACAGCAGGGAAAGTGAAGAGAAACCAGAACCACAAGTGGAAATTGTGACAACCGCACTGGCCTTCTAACACATTGCTGAAGTAAAAAAATTTCTGACATGAACAGACAACTCCGCGAATCAACGGACTGCACCGAATGGCATTTAGAGCTTTGTGCTAAATGCACATGTGGCACAGAAGCAGGTGACCAATCATAATTTTTTTAGAAGGTGTACTGGTCAGCAGTATATACTAGTCAATGAACTCACTGACCTTACATGCACCACTTTCCGTTTCAATATAGTTAAAGGGGCAATGCGACACTATTTCAGCATGTATTTTTCATCGGTTCTTCTGGTGCTGTGGAAGGCGCCGATATCGTTGTGCACATGGCAACACCGAAATCGACCCTGTTGTTATTTTATTTCACGAGGCAAACTACCTTGATTTCAGACTATGGCGACACACATCGGCTATTTTTGTTATGGGAAGTGACGTCGTGTCATGTGATGTGACGACAAACACTGTTCACTTTTGATTGGCTTGACGCGAGAAATAGCGTCCGGTATTCGCATTGGGGTAGCTAAGCCATACGAGTGAATGCTAAAACAGCAAAAACCTTTTTTATATATTAAGAAGGAAATTCCTTTTCCCAAATGATGTATTGTCAGAACAACGAACACAACACTTATAGCCTGCGATTGAGGCTACTATACGCCAGAGACAATAAGTGGGAACGCATGCCGCGTTTTTAGTGAGCCGAAAATGCGACAGGCGATTGGCGCCGGCGTCGTCGTAGAATGCGCTTGCATGCAAGCCCAGAAGTGACCCCGTCCAAAGTGTATGTGCGTATCTTACACAGTGTGACTGTGGGAGCGTCTGCTACCCGACGCACGTGGTTCGTAGTAACAATGCCAACAACGCCGTCACAAAGAGCGGTAGCGAGGTATTGTGTAAAGGCCACAATGAGGTGACATTTCCGGAAGGTTTTCATGAAACACGTGTGATTGGAAGCGGTCTTTGACGTGAGCAGGCGAGTGAAATGCGAAAGAAAACGTTTCTCGTCGTCGTCTGCTCCACTTCTGAACTTTAAGGGCTCATAACTTCACTTTCCGTGCGCCAATTTCCATATTTTTGTTGCATTCGTTTCAGTAATCATCGCTATACGCGTTCCGGTGCAAACTAAGGCTTTGCCAAAAGTGTCGCAGGGCCTCTTTAAGATCTAGAAATTCTTAAAAGTGTGAATACCACAGATGTCTAATCATAATTTGTGCTGTCACGTTAAACAGGGTCGCATATATGAGAACTTCTGATTATTCAAATAGCGGCCCCTTTGAGTTTCAAATCTAGTGGCCCCATTGAGTTGAAATTAATGAGAGTCGACTGTATTGCTGTAGATGTCCATAACTGCACGAGTGAAGCGCTGACAGGCTCACACGTACAAACATGATTCCACAGGAATGACAGCATCTTGACTGCATTGAAACTAATGACAATGCCATGCCATTCAACCTTGGCGTGAATTTCTTCATTTTCTTCTAAATGTCTACGACATAACATGTGCACGCAAGGAATATTGCAAAAAGCCTACAAATTATATGATTGTAGCGTAGTAGATAGCGTGCTTGGCATCTGCTGTCACTGACTGAAGGCTCCTGGGTTCGATTCCTATAATTGGAGTGTTTTTTTCTTTGTCTTCTGATCATGTGTATTTTTTCTACGTGTCACTAAAGTCCCGGTGGACCCCAGCATAAAACACTTTCGTGATTAAAAAAAATGTGAACGCACATGCAATAAACGCTGTTTAGACATTCATTTCACATACCTGGCAAGTCGCGTTTGGTTATGTGGGTCCAGGTGGGCTTGAATTCGAGACGCACGGTCTCTTCTCTTGTTTTTGTGGCAGCCAAGTTCATCTCAGTAACACTTGTTATGTTCCGCACGAAAGCCTCCTGAAATGAAAACAGAGAACAAAAACAGTTTTGCATCCATGCGTGCTCTGAAAACCCAACAGCTTATATCTATTTATTCTAAGTACTTATGCAAATGCTTCACTTCGACGACTCTGCTTCGTATGAGAATGTTACAAAAAATTTAATGGGTTTCGCAACAAAGAGAACTTTTCATTCGCAGTAAATGCTAAAATATATATTTTCATAAAACGGGAAGATGTTACCTTAAAGGGGCCATGCAACACTTTTTAAGCATGGTCAGAAAATGCTGTGAATCAGTAGTAGGGGCTCCTGAGAACACGCGTGCTCAATATTACAGCGTAGCACGCAGCCTAGAATTCACAATTATTACCTAGGTCAGCTAAAAATGACTTTCTCTTCTTTCGACAAATGACGAAAGACACTAAAATATCATTCGCAGAAGGCCATCTATCAGTGACTTGTACATGGCGTGCTCGTTCATTAGAGGAATCGCCGCGAGAGGCCACGACTTGTGCACGCGTGATCACACTGAGAAAGTTGCGTATTTGAAGAAAAAACAAAACAGTGCTCAAGATAACGAGGCGTGCGTGACGCATTTTTTTTTTGCTCCTGCCATCCCTCCTTGCTTAGCTTGCGGCACTTTCATCTGGACGAGAGAACAGAGAATGCGTTTGCAGATTGTGACAAATCTTTGTAACTCCACATGTACTCAATAGATTCTTGAAAGTTCTGTGTCGTTGAATTCGTAAGGCAATAAGTTCTTGCAGTGAATCAATTCTATGGTTACTTGAAAAACATTTTCAGGGCCCCTTTAAGAGCAGGGCTGTATTCAGAGAGATCTTTGGTTTGAGTTTTTTGTACTTGCTAATTGGCAATGGTTGGCTGTTCTTGATAACAGTCCGTCCTATTGATTGGCTGGGATTTGCTCATACAAATAATTCTGAACTAAAATACATACCGATTATGATATTCATGTTAGTAGAACATATGGTGTGAAATAACCGTAGTGAAAGGAAGTTGATGAGCCCCTGCAATACTTTTTCAGACAGCCATGAAATGAATTCACCTAAAGAGATTACTGCCTCACAAATTCACCATCAAAACATTTTTAGAATGCATCCAGTATAAGCCGAGTTACAAAGATTTGTCACACGCTGCGATTGCATTCTCTGCTCTCTCGTTCTAACGAAAACGCTCGAAGTTAAGCAACGAGGGATGGCTCAGGAAAAGAAAGTGCATCATGCATGCCCCGCAAGCTTAAACATATTTTCTCTTTTTTTTTCTTTTATCAAATACGTGACTTTTCAGAGTGATGGCACGTGTACGTGTGGGCGAGTCATGTTCTCATGCACAAATCAGCCAACAGCTGATACAATGGCAGTGATGAGTGATTTCTGAGATTGTATTGTCGTTTGTCGAGAGAAGAAAAAGCAATTTTTAACTGACTTCCAGAGTTAATTGTGAATTCCAGTCCGTGTGCTGTACTTTTATATTTGGCTCGCGTGTTTCTGACCATGCTTAAAATGTGTTGCAAGACCCCTTCAAAAATATCTAAATATTAAAAAGGCCCGAGTAATGAAAAAGTAGATCATCCAACAATGCAATTTTAACAATTTCTGTGTGCACAGAGGAGGTGGAGTTTGTATTATACAATGTTCCCTCCTCAGTATTTTTCAGTACGCACACTTTAATGTTCTCCTTGTGCATACCAACTTCTTAAATTGTGAGAGAACTGTCGCCATATGCCACGCAACTTTCCAGCAAACCGATTTGCAATTGATGCAAATAAAATTGATAGCATAAATCCATCATGCCGACTGCCAACAAGACAAATTGCCTTAACAATGAGAGTCTATTAACCTGTTTAATTATACAAAATCAGAAACAAATTAGACAATGTAAGAAAAGCTGGTTTCAACAGCTTTTTCCCTTCAAAAAGACCCCCAACAAATTATAACAAAATGTTGGAAATAAGGATTTGATTGGTTGATTGATTGATTGACTGACTGACTAATTGATTGAACTAAAAATAAAAAGCCCACCCTAGTCCCTTTTTGGAGAACCTAGTGAACGTCTTGGAGCTCGACCATTGTGTCCCCAGTGCTGCGTCAATCTAAATGATACCGTCTAGCAACCGATCGCAAATATCCGCTGTAAACTGGTGGTTCTCTCTGGCTGTTGAGTTACATAAACGAACTTAGCATCTGCAAGCTGCTGCTACACACCAAGCTTACAGATTCTACTCATGTGGACTGTGAAAATGATTTCAGATGTGTTTCTCACCTGTAGGCTGAACTGAACCGGCAGAGAGAGCTCTCCCGCGTGGTCTTTAAGCTCGAAGAAGTGTTCCAGTCGCATCAAGACCTTGTCCTCTTTATTCCAGTTCTCAAGGGTCAGCAAGTGCACGTTGGGAGGCAGTGGCTTCGCAAGAGCTGTGCACTGCGCACAGGCATTAGTGTGTGTAGAAGAACCAATACACGGCAGCTTTTAGTACTGTAGAGCCATGAGCGTCAATGCATGTTCAGTAATGTTCAGCAACGATGGCCACTCATGAACACCGACTGTCGCTGGAGCCAACATTTCAACAAGCAGTTTTGCCTCCTTCAATAGTAAGTTTTTACATATGTGTGCTCGCATGTTTTGCTTTCATTGTTAATGAGAACTGACTGACAATTATCCCTTATACTTTTATTGGCATAAGTGTCTGTCAGTACTCAATAAAATTGTGTCTAACAGATAAAAACGAGCCCTTAAATTTACCCTTCTTTTTTGAATTCATAGCGAGGGTCTCGTTCTGGTAGACTTAATGCCTTCAGGTGGTACGTGAAGGATTATTGGTCAGCTGCCAGCTCGTAATAAGATCACGTGCTACGTGACTTCAACAGGCGAAAATGAATGTCCCACACTCGCCGCAATGGCAACAGGTGGCGCTGACTGCCGCTCCCACGTTTAAAATGCACATACATATCCTATAAAGATGACCAAGGAATAGCGACTGTGGTAGCTAAGTTGGCAGAGCATCGGAAGAGTTATTCGAAGATCGCAGGTTTGGTCCGTGCCCACGGCAAGTTATCTTTTCGTCTACTTCTTTTTCTTGACAACTACATTACAATTGCTTCCGATAACATCCCCTATGCTTTCCTGGGCATAATTTTTTGTTAGTTTTCATTAATATTGTGTCCAACAAAAAATGAGCCCTTAATTTTACACTTCTTTCCTTCATTTCGATGTACTGTGCTCTCTAATTCTCCTCCTTTGGGTTGCAAGTTCAATATTGACTCGAGGCGTTAACATCTCTTAATATATCATCATCATCATCATCACTACAATTATCAGCCGGACTACGCCACTGAAGGGCAAATGCCTCTCCCATGTTCAGCCAGTCAATCCGGTCCTGTGCTTTCACATCATGTCAATAAAAAAAGAGCATCTTTCAGTTGATGCTTTGAATAAAACAAGACCATTTTTCGAAACAATGACTCGCTGACGCCCCATGTTCAAAAACACTGTCCTCTTTAAGTCCCTTTTTCCTGAACTTAAGCCATATTTATCATTCAGTAAAGTCTTTTCGCCTAACTTTCACAATGAAACATAGAGGGTGGTTACTAGAGGGTGTTGAGGGTGTTCTAACCCCTCCTTCCCAGAAATCTTTTAAAATGTTTTAACTTTTTGGGTGATACTAAAGTATTTACACGCCTTCACATCGACCACCAGTTGCCCAAGTTAGTTGTTCTACAGAAAAACATCGCCCCGAAAAAATTCCTGGGCACAGAGAATACTATGGGGCAATATCGCGAGTAACTAAGGGAGTAGAAATTTTAGGTTTCTGCTTCCGCTCACTCGTGCACAAAACTCGAGTTGTACCTACAAACATGGGACACATTTAATGCCATGGACATACAAAGCATTCAGCGCTATACATGTGAAAAGAGCAGGAACTTCCAAGCAAAAGGTGTGCAAACTCTGTCGTTTCCCAGTGCTTGAGTTAAGCATTTAAATTTTATCGGTGTAATATGTCATTTAAGCATGCAGTACCTTATATATTGTTGTAAAGTGGCCATTTGCCTTTAAAGTATACAAAATGAAGAACAGCTCTTTTGAAAAAGCACTCAGAAACCACTCGACGTGTTATTAAACTTGGTAAAGGAGACAGATACGCGAGTTAACACGACCCAATAACACCAGCAAATGAATGAGCAAATGGCATATTTTTGCATCTCTAGGTAGGTAGTGTTAAATTTCTTAATTATAAATATAGCCCAATAAGATATTTACGAGATGTGTTAGTAAAATAACGGTTCTGACATGAGTGGCCAGCATTAGGTTTTTCAACCTAGAAAAGATTGCGGACGCAATGAAAAGCCCGTAACAGGTGGCTTGAGAGCGAGCTTAGGTATAAAACACGATATGCGTGTTATATTATTTAAACAAAAAGTGTTTGTTATTTCTTCCTGTGAATGCTTCACCTTGTCATACTGTCCTTACCGAATGAGAATCGTGGGTGTACACGTAGGAGATGATTCGATATTGTGTCCATAAATTACATTTAAATCACCATTTGCAGATTTCATTTGAAATTTACATCCATCATTTTCAACTATCTGAATGAATAAGAAAGAAATGTGTCAAGAAAGAAAAGTGGGTAAAAAGATAACTTGCCGTGGGCAGAAAACGAACCTTGAAGGTTGCAGGTTCGGCTCCTGCCCATGGCAAGTTATTTTTTCACGCACTTTTCTTTCTTGGCACTACACGACAATTTAGTTTAAGCACTTCCTCTATATTTTCAATGGCATTATTGTCTGCTAGATCTCAGTCAAGCACAAAAAACGAGCCCTTAAGTATATATATATATATATATATATATATATATATATATATATATATATATATGAGATATAACAGACAGTAATGCCAAGGAATGTACAGGGGAAGTTATTAGAACCAATGGAATGTAAATAAGAAGAAAGAAGAAAGAAAAGTGGATGAAAAAAATTACCAGCTGTGAGCAGCTGGTAATTTTTTCATCAATCAATCCCGCGACCTGCGGGTCAGCAACCGAGTACCTTAGCCACTAGACCACCATGGCCGGGCATGCGGATATGTACAGCTTGCCTGGGTATCTTGGCATTGGAGTTACTGCTATTATTAGTAGAACCACAAATGCACACTGTAAACTGCAAACCATGAATGCCAAGTGTAAACTGTAAGCTACGACACGTATGCTCAGCGCTATAGTCCTGCGTGTGAAGATGCACCAATAGATTCACATTGTAATTTGGCTTCTCTGCAGTGCGTTTTTGGTGCTCACGGGTGAATAAGTGAGACATAGAAAGCTTCACTTTACACCAATGTGCTCACAATACAAATGCGCTACATTGAGGCAGCTGCTTGCATTCCTGCAAGGTGTTTAAAAGAAAAAAAGAAGAGACCTGTAGGGCAACAAACTGTTGCAAAGGTCACCTTTTCAAGAACTACATCTACTCTTCCCCAGCATGCTCACTAAGAGAACAAACAACGATGTTCTATAATGTCAAACAGTGTCCAAAATATATACGCTTTTAAATACATAAAGCATGTAGCTAGCATTTCTGTGGTCATGCTGCTCCACTTACATTGGTTTTGTACTTGTACTTGTAGGGTTTGCGGCGTACACTCGAAAAGTGGAGAGTAGGAGCCGAATAGATAGCCTGGGCCAGAGGTCGGTGAATTTTCGCTGCTTCGTTCACGGAGCTTAGGGTGACCCGGTGCGTCCCACGCACCACCACACCCCGATCATCATAGTACGTCTCGTTGAGGGCCTCTTCAACGCCAAATGCGTCGTCATACAGCAGCCGCCGGTGAACCTACAGACAACAAACTTCCATGAGACAGAAATTGATTTTACGTTTCATACGGCCCACTCAACGTCCCCTGCTTAAAGTAGTTCTGGTGCATTCAAACTTAGCTCGAACTAATTCGTGATGGCGAATAATTCACAACAACCACCGTGCTAAAGGCATTAGTAAATGGCATTCAAATACGGAAACTTTTGAGAGTAGGGGTCCTTTTACACTCGCTAGCCTAGATTCACAGTATTGATCTAAGTAATTGGTCAGACACACTGTCAAACTAGCGGGCCGTAATTAGTGGAATGAGAAAAGTGATGTTAGAGCGAGTTCAGGTGTTTCTATTGCTTTTTAACTTCAACCGCAAATTAAGCCTGAAAGTGCGCACAAACAAAATACGCCACCACAAAGAAAAGTGCTCCTGAATGAGGTGGCGGAACACCGAGGTAAAGTTTCCTGCAAAGTTCGCATTGAAGGCACTCAATGTCAGTCAATCATGTACTCAATCGGATACATTAAATTGAAGCCATGAATATTTCGAGAAAGCACATACAGTTGCAACATGTTACGTGTCGTAACATGAACGCACAGAAGCTGAACCATCTGCCTTCTTTTATGGGGTATTCGGTTGGGCGTTTTCGAGCGCTCTGGAGGGCTCTGAAAAGTGGCTGCACCTTCAGTTGGTAGAATTCGAGCGCTCGAACTACTTTCGGCCGGTTCTTTCAGAGCGCTCCCAACTGCTCTCACTTAGAAGCGAGAGCGAGGCACGATCTGACCGGGAGAATGGATCACATGACACAAGCCTGCCAATCAAGGGGCTGCCAGTAGGTGAACCAAGTGGGGAGCGCGAGCGTGCATTTTGAAAGGGGACATTGCCGGGCGCGTAGTACTTCGTACATGTGAGTAGTTTGTGGCGTTTTCGAGCATGTGTGGGGCAAATTTACATCTACAAAGCCATAAATGCACAATGACGATTAACGAGGCGGCTGCCAAAGGCGGTGGAAATGTCAATGCTGTCGTTACTGCAGCTTGCAGACAGCCCCGTGATTTGCCTTGGTGATTGCAGCTGGGATGAGTACGATCACAAGATTTCTGTACTGAGTTCAGAAGGCTTTTGCTACATTCAGACACGATAGAGAGGGCAAAAGAAATAATATAGGAACAGTCAAACATGTCAGGGATATCTACTGAACTGATCGGCACTATTTGTTGACGCGGCGCAGGTGCAGCACTGTTTACCTGGCAGCTTTCCGAGCTCGCTGCACGATGGCGCTACAGGCAGGCTGCTCTGGGCGTTCTGAGATTGCGGATAAATTTGGTTGGTATGCTGCCTCTCACGCTCCAATTTCGAGCTCCCTCTGCATCTGGTGACTCCGAGTGAGAGAACCAGAGCAGCCAACCGAATACACCGTTAATAAACTCTGTATCTGTCTCAATCTCTGTGCCGCTATCCTATCTCTTCATCGTTCTCCCTCTCTTTTGTCACTGTGTCAAGACGCATAAAGCTGACAAAAAGAGAGAAACGAGCAGACATATAAGCTTTTTTATTTTTGTCACCCCTCCACACTATCGAAAAATCGAGCACAGTTCCGCATCGTCCACCGTTTGCAAAAACGTCAGCACTTACCATCAATTCTATGGAGCCATTTCGCAGGCTGCTGCCTCCCTGAGAGCGATCAGTGAGCACGGTGAACTGAAGGTCCCGATGGGGGTCCTAGGAAAGATGAGAGAAAAAAGACACACACACAGAGAGAATTTCGCAGCTTAAATAGAACAAACAAGAATTGTAAACATGAACACACTCCCCATGTACCAACGCAGTCCTCATCATATCTGTTCGTTCAATTATAACATCCTTAACATTTTGAATATCATAAATCTAATTTGCATGCTAATTTGTTTCTGTTCTGTTCTGTTTTAACTGTTTTGCTCTGGAGAGGTTGAGGTGCCTATTGCCTCGGCTATTCCATATCACAAAGTTCTGCAGCGAAAAGTAAAATAATAATACAGAACGGTACCCAAAATTTAACAATACGGAAAAAGAAAAAAAAACATAATAGCACACTGAAACCAGTAAAATATTATGCCAATACACAGTTTTATTCGCGCAGTTCACACAGTTAAAAACTATTTACACGCACACCTTACTATTCTACGGTCAGTATATACACGACCACATTTTATATACACCCATCTCTGGCTGTCTGTCATAGGCGCTTGTCCAGTCCGGTCTCCACTAAAAAGTCTGTCAGGAAGATTATTGCCTTTTTCTGGAGATGCATCTCAGGCCATGATCCAAGTAGTTTCTTTATTGTGAGGGGCCGTCTGTCCAAACTTGCTAATTTGTTCTTTAATTTTTCTCTTTCATTCGCGTATTTAACGCACTCCAAAAGAATATGGCGAACATTTTTTTCTGCATGACCACAATGGCATTCCGGTGAGTTGTATCAATGTATCTTGTGCAGGAAGCTGTTTGTGTATGCTACTTCCAATCGAAGACGGTGGATTTATGTCTCTAGGTGTCGGGGGAGGTCTGTAGCTATAGAAAATTTTCTGTGTGGATCAACTTCATAAAGTACCGTTTCCTTTGATTTAGGGCTCTCAAACCACTTCTCCATCGAACAATGGTTAGCTCCTTGCGATATAAAATGTCGAATATCCGCCCAAGACATAGGGATTGCGCAATCCCGTCCTTCCTTCAATGCTTTCTTCGCGAGGCTATCAGCCTCTTCATTTCCCTTTATTCCAATATGGCTGGGTATCCATTGGAATACGATGTTGTTACCCTGCGATGAGGCATATTCCACAGTTTCTGCAATACATTGTGCTATTTCATAATTTTTGTAAGGTGATCTCACATTTCTGATTAGCTGAAGAGCAGGTTTGCTATCAGTGCATATCACCCATTTCCGTGGCACAGGATTATCGCAGATAAGCCTAACTGCTTCAAAGATAGCCACCAATTCTGCTGTCGTCGATGAAGATTTGTGCGATAATTTGTACATCTTCTTTTTCTGAATTTCTGGTATAAAGACCGCACAGGCTCACGCTTCTTCAGTGCATGATCCGTCTGTATATATCTTCGTTTTTTCATTATGCATTACATGAAACTTATGAAGTACCAACTGTGCCGCTACTAAAGGTGCCATGTCTGCTTTCTTCTCTATGCCGTCTATTTCACGGACAACGTTGAGAAGTGGCAGCATCCAAGGTGGTTTCGAAGGTTTCCATTGTTTAAATTCTGGTACCACTGCTTGAAATGATGATATATATCCTGTAGTCTCGTTGCCGTCCTTTGTGTTAGTGCACCAGATAAAAAATTACTTTCATGTTGCGTGAAAATTCTAAATAAATTTCGAGATGTTTCTTTAGTTTGGAGTACTGCCAAAGGTGGCTCTCGAGCCTCCGCATACACTAAAGCACTGGAAGTTGACCGCGGTAAACCCAGACATACCCTCCAGCTCCTTGCCAATGACAAGTGAAGTCTCCTTTCGATGGAGGCTGGAAGTCCGTGAAGCAGAGGCAGTGAGTAAGTTACGATGGGGCGTATCTAGGCAACATGTAGGGCTAATAACGACTCTGTAGTACCACCCCATTTCGCCCCGCGTAGATGCCGGAGGATTCGAATGGCCTGATTCACTTTTTGTTCAAGGGACTGGACATGAGGCAACCATGTTAGTCTCCGGTCTAAAATTACTTCGAAGAATTTATGAGTTTTAACCATTTAAATAGGCTGATTTTGCAGAATAATCTGGAAATTTCCAGGTCTTTTTAATGTAAACGGAAGTATGGCTGTTTTAGCCAGACTCAGTGCCACACCTCTTTTTTTTAGAAAACGGTATACATAATCCAATCCTTCTTGTAGAGTTTGTTGTACATCCAAAAACGATGAACCAGATGTCCATATACTTATATCATCAGCATATACGGAACATCTGATGTTAGGTGGATGATTATACGGGGGCTGTGCCATGACTGCATTAAAGAGAGTAGGGCTTAGCACGCTGCCCTGCGGCACTCCTTGCTTGACGACATGTTCTGACGTTGGGCCCTCCAGCGTAACTACAAAAATTTTGCGCTGATTCAGGAAGTCAGCGATCCAACGCAGTATCCTGCCCTTGAATCCCTGTAAGGCCAGGCCTTCCAGAACGTGAACGTGACTCACTGTGTCGTATGCTCGGTGGACATCAAGGAATAGAGCGACAATGATGTTTCCTTGCGTTCGTTGGTGTTCCACATCTGTGACCAAATCCAGAATGCAGTTCATTGTGCATCTACCTCTTCTGAAGCTGGCTATGCTTTATTGTACTAGTTTTTTCATGTCTTGCCACCATAAAATTCGTTCATTGATCATTCTTTCTATCACTTTTGAAAAACAACTTGTCAAACTAACCGGCCTAAACAAGTCCAACTGCATAGGGCTCTTCCTTGGCTTTAGCAACAGTGCTACTTTTGATATATTCCAACTTTCCGGAACTTTTTATTCTTGCCAATTTTTATTATAGATGTCCAACAGGTGATCCACTGCTAGGGGGCCGTATAGACCAGACGCGTCTCGCATGGGCTCCTGCTTTTCGTGCTTTTTAAACCGAAACAAGGCCAGTGACGAACCCAAGAGTTTCGCAACCTCAGCCGCCAAGACACGAGGAATCGGCGGACACCAGCTTCTTTTGGGTGAGTGCATCCTGTCTCAAGATATAAGACTTAATTCCCGACAAGCGCGCGTCCAGTTTATTAAGCCTAACGCCAAGTTCGTTCCTGAGCAAAGCCGCGCGGCGCGTGCACAACGCGCTCAGGCGTTCCTGACGGCACGGCGCGAGCGCTCGCGCTCGCCGTTGCGAAAAGCTTAGAATGAGCAGAGACGCAGCCGCAGCAAGCGAAATGCAAAAAAACCAGCAAGACGAAGAAAATACAATGCAAACTGACCCAGTGGAGGCAAACAAAACAACAGAAAACTCGTGGACCTATGACGCTGGCAGTGGCAGAACAATTGCAACGGAAAGCACTTGGATCACGAGAAATAAGAAAGACAAGAAGGCTGTCGCCAATCCAAGGTCACCGGCCAACCAACCCACAGAGCAGCCACCTATCAATGAGCAGACGCTAAAGTCATCACCAACGCAGCAACAACGCAGGCCCAAGATGCCACCTCTGCCGCTCGATGACTTCAAGATCGTCTACCGCCCGCAAGCAGGTCTTGACCTCGCCAAATGGAACACCGTCGCTGTCACGCATGCCATCGGCAGAGTGAGTGGACTATCACAGCAAGACTTTAACGACAAAATACGCGTACAAGTCCAGAGAATGAAAAACCTAATCATCGCAAGCACCGCCGCCAAAGAAGACGCCAAGAAGCTGGTAAGCATCCAGAAAATACAGCTTGGAGGAAATTTTTACACTGTGAACGGCAACATCAGAACACCGGACGATGTCTCCAGAGGCGTCATCAGTGGCTTGATACCCGGTACGAGCACCACAGAACTCATGGCTGGAATTCGCGCACCGGCAAGATACACAGTTCTTCACGCCCGAATGCTAGGCCAATCGACCGCGGCAGTCGTCTTCTTTGAAGGACCGCACGTTCCCTACTACATAATTTTCCAGAGCGTAGACTTCCACTGCAGACCATATCGTAAATCAGCGCAGTATTGCCGAGCTTGTGGCAATACGGGTCACCACCAGGACGTCTGTCCGAAACCTATCCCGGATTTCTGCTATAAATGTGGCAAACCGGACAAACGCAGGGACATGAATGCGCACCCATCTGCAAGATCTGCGGGGAAGGACACGAAACAGCAAGTAAAGAATGCAAAAGGAGACTAAAGCCAAGTCCACCACCCTTCAACGTAAGACAACAGCGCCTCAACAGGCTTCAAGAAATAGACAACAACTGGAACGCCAGCGGAGAAGAGTTCCCTGAGGTTAGCATATCGGCCGCTACCTCTAACAGTAACAATGAAGGCCGCGTCTCCACGCGCAGGAGTTCCAAGTCAAAATTGCGTTCAAGTTCGCGCTCCCACTCTCGCGCGCGTTCCGTCTCTGCGCGCAGTAGATCCAAATCAATACTGCGTTCCAGTTCGCGCTCCCGCTCTCGCACGCGCTCGCGTTCCGTTAAACGTGCGAGCTACGCTGCCATGGCAAGTGGATCTAATGACCGCAGCAGCTTAACCTCCTCGAAGTCGGACACCTCATCCATACAGGGTCTCGAAGATAGACTGAAAACCAGCAAGAAAAGCTCCAGAATCAGCACAGCCAACTGCAAAGCCAACAAAGTCTCATAAATAAACTGCTTCAGAGTCAAAAACGACAACAAGAGCTCATTGGCAAACTACTTGAAAGGAAGGAAGGAAGGAAGGAAAATAGAGGGAAAAGAAAGGCAAGGAGGTTAACCAGCCTATAGGCAGCCGGTTTGCTACCCTGCGCATGGGAGAGGGATGGGGGAGATAAAAGAGAGCGGAGAGGGAAGATAGAAACAGCACATTCGGCAGCACACGCGCGCACACTCAGTCATAGTCCAGTCTTGTGTTTCGCGGTGTGTGACATTGCTGTTACAGTCGCTTGTTCAAGTCGGTGTCGCGTAGGAATTTCAACAGAGCCTTCGTCGCCTTCTAACAACAAAAACTTTGGGCTTTGATATTGCACTCAGTGATCAAGAAAATAATATCCACATAACATCATGCAAGTGTCAATGTAATTCGATTCAGTTACATCCTAACAATATGACCATCGCAATGCTTCACTAGGCTGAAATCGAAAGCAAAGTTCCAGGGCATAGAATACGGACATTACTGTGATTTCACTTAAGCTTACGATGCAACACTTCTGTGGCTGAATCCTTTAAGCTTCTTAGCTGCACTGCTTGGAATGCATTTCCAGTACAAATGTGAATAAGAAAGACAGGTAAAACGACCATGAGACCCGTGTCCTTACTATTCTGGTACTTTTCAGTGTGTATGTACTTTGTTACATTTATCATATACCCCGGAGATTCATTAAAATTTGGAAAGCTTCTTCTGGCTTTTCTTTTTTTCGTAAATGATATTCATCGTTTACTCAACACTTCTGCTTACAAAACAGTAAAACCTTGTTGATTCGATGTCACTGGGACCATGAGAAATCTGTGAATCAGGCTGATTTTTGAATTAACGGAACATACAAAAAGTTGGATGCAAAAAACCTAAAATTATTCAAAGTATAAACAGGGCTGGTCCTTTGTTGTGCTGGCTAGTTTACGGCTCCATGGGTTACATTTTCCAGTATTACAAGGTCACAGGTTTGCCACAAACATGGAGGAACACTGAGACTCGCTACTACAATTGCCAAAAAAAAGGAAAAAAAAAGAAGTCCCGGGAGCAGAGCACAGACCGAAAGGAAGCACGTTAAAATTCGAAAATGCTGCCTGCATCTTCCCATGGGGGGACCACGAATAATTGTATCGCAGAGTAGTAGAGGTATCACGTGAATGTTGTGTAATTGGGTATTGTTTGGGAATGTTTGATTGTTATTTCACTTTTATCATTCTTATTTATTGAATGAAGGAGCAGCATTGCCTTCAACATCGAGTGAAAGCCAAGTAAAAACGCCCTTGACTGAATTACTAACGCGCGATTCAGTGCCTACATATACGAGGTGGCCAGTCAACGGTTGTCTAGCGCAAGCACTCTTTTTTTTTAATAGCAGACACTGCCTGCGTCGGCCTTGCGAGGTGAGCGAGAAAGGGAGGGGAGCGGCAGTTTTGCGGGTGTCTTCCTGCGCCGGCACGAGACGCAAGCTTGCAGAGTAAGGGTGTGGATGGCGCCACCGCCGACGTCGAAGCGCGAGATCGTGCGACTAATAAATTCTCTGCATATTTAAAAGAAGACGTCGTAATCAACTTAAATGCGCACCTGCAAAAGATAAGACGTCTTCATTGCAATACAGTACTGACACGTGGGCAGCGTGTCACCTGCTCCTCGATGGATCAGTGCATCATTCATTGATTGATATGTGGAGTTGAAAGTCACAAAGCCACCATTAAATTATGAGAGACGCCGTAGTGGAGGGCTCCACAAATTTCGACCACCCGACGTGCACCTGAGCCTGAGCACACGGGCCTACAGCATTTTCGTCTCCGTTGAAAATGCAGCTGCCGCAGCCGGGATTCGGTCCGCAGCCGAGTACATTAGCCACTAGACCACCACGGTGGGGTAGATCAGTACATCATGACGCGGCTATTAGCCCATTCCTTTCAGTAAAATATTGAGAGTGACGAAACTCGCACTATTTTGGCTGGTAAACATTATATTGAAGTTTCAGAAGTAGGCGTAGCAGGAAAGATCTCTGCCAGCAGTGCAAATGCGCAAACTGCTGGAGTAACCAGCCCTCAAAGTTTTGCATACATCGCGAATTCTGCCAGACTGTCCTTCAATAATGGATCTTATTTATATTCCCAGAAAGAATGGGCAAATCGTGACGCGCTGGTGTTGAGAGAAACATGCAATATGCTGCCCGCGCGTCACTCCTGTATTGCAGTAAAACACGTCTGGGTTTCCGGAGGCGCACTTTTCAGTTGGTCACGAGAGCGGTTTTTTTTTCACAGTTTAATTTTCGTGCTGGCAGTATCGAGACTGCGATACTTCAGCTTCCGTTCAGTAGTATTGCTACAGTACATTGCCTAGTGGTTCTTAAGGGTTGTCGTTTTCACGGTTTTGCGGCGAATTTGGGATCGGGAATTCGTACACTGCACCCAAAGTTTTGGAATTTACCGGGCTGATGCTGACCACCCCTTCACATTATCCACTCAAACTTACATCGCGAACGACGGGACCTCTGAAATGCTTCGAATAAGTGGAACTTCTAAATAACGAAGTTCGAATTCATGACGTCTTACTGTGTATCCAGCGACAAAATAGAATGGGGATCAGCTCGCACAAGCAATTATAGATTAAGGAGATTCTAGTAACTGTGCATAGACCCCGTTCTTTCTTTGCCATCTTTAAGTCATCAGCTAAGCTTCATCTACAAACCTGCAATATTATGCAAGGACTCATGGCCAGTATGCATTGGAAAGTTCTAAAACCACAGAAGTGCTTGCAAAGGCACTAGTTTGTCAACCTAGATGAGAATTTCAATTAGGTGAGAACATGCCTGCAGGAATTTCTTGTAAATTTGTAATACGTATACAAGTGAAGAGCATATATCAGTATAACAATTTACACCAACAAGTACAAAAAATATCTAAGGAGTACGATTGATCACTACGTGAGAATACTCATGTTTGTTTTGACAATGATAACATAAAATTTTACGTTTGTTGTGTATGTGTGCATAGAGCACATTCTGTAGGTGCAGCGCTTATGCCATGCAGACACAGAAAGGCCAGAATATGTGGACGTTTATGGCTTTTTCTTTTTATCTATTCCCGCGTCAGAGCAATGCTATATCACATGACTAACTAGACCAAAAGCCTCCGCTGTTGAGCCCACTTCGACTCGCCCTAACTAAGGAGATCTTTAGCAATCAAATGTGTTTATGGCCCTCGACAAAGTGTCATGCATATGCATGGGGTCATTAGTACAAATTCATTTTGTCACACCTTTAGTAATTACCCATGAACTTACTCTTATGAAGATCCTGCTGTTGACAGGGTAATAGTTTCCAGCCACTGGCTCTTTTATATAAACACTCCAGGTCGGCCTGAAATTTAGGCTGAAAGTAACGAAAGTTAACTGTTGGCTCACCGAAAAGGGTGTGAAACAACCTTGCTTTGACAGCGAAAAAATCAGCCTCCTTTTTGCATTACAAAGCCATAGAAGCATCATCATAAACATGCGTTTTGAAAGGCAACCGTTCAAGCATTCAGTGAGATGACAATATTACCACGCAGCCTACTGTTCGTCTTGTATTATTTGCGGAAAAGAAAAAGAAATCCCAGAAGAGGCAGGGAGGCTAACACCTTTTTTTAAGTAGCATGAAAGCTGTTTCCATAAAGCGCTCAAATATGTGAGGGTGGTAGCACTGCTTGGCTTGGCAGAATCGAACGAGCCACTTGCACAGCTTCCAGACAAAGAAACAATAGGCTGTCAAATAAGTGCGCTAGCCACCACTTCAGGACTGACAGACTTGACCCAATTCATTGCACCCCACCAAACAAATAAGCAGTTTAATACGACACTGCGAAACGCGTTGCGGAGAAAGGGAAACATAATTTTTTCTTTGCTTGAGACTTTGTTACCGCTGTTGGGCCACATTCAATAAAAAGCACCAGAGTCGACTGGAACATTATCTGACAAATAATTCTACAGTTGGTCCTCTCTCTGAATACAGTCTCTGTGAATATATAAGGAACCCATTGAATCATGCACAGTACTCAGGCCCTGCAACATCTTTGTAAGTAATCATGTAATGTCTACATTAAAAATGCTCACTGGTTTTTAAATCGACTACCGCAAAAAATTTTAGAATCCATCAAGTACGAACGGAGTTACTGGTGTTTGGCGCGCGCTTTAAGCCCTTTCTCTCTCCTTTTGTACCAGTGATGGAGTTTGCATACATGGAGAATTCCGCCAAACTGTCCTTTATTATTTATTTATATTCCCGGAAAGAATGATCAGATCATGACGTGCTGACGATGCGAAAAGCATGCGACATGCTGCCCAGGCGTCACCAGTGGGCTGCAGTGAAGCTCATTTTGTTATTCGAAGGCGCATATTTTAGCTCACCACGAGACCTTTTTCTTTAGTTTTATTTTTCATGCTGGAAGTATCGAGGCGGCGGTTATAGCTACGAAGGAAGGTGGATAAGATGGGGCAAGGAGATGCGTCACCTCGTCGGCACCCATCTTGACCTTGAGGCTAGATTGCATTTTTTCACTTTTTCTTCGAACGTGTGCCTCGTCTTAACCGTGATCGTGAGTGAGCGTGCAAGAATGTAGTGGCATCTTACGGCAACTGCACTAACTGCGCAGCTCGCGATGTTCAAATCAGCCAACGGTCATTCACTTTGGATATATGACGCAGTAATTTGGGTACATGACATCGTTCAAACGAAGAAGAGATAGTGATTTCTAGTTGACCTTTCGAGTTGATTGTGAATTCTAAGCCGCCTGTTCCACTATCATGTTAGAGTCGCGTGTTCTCAGGGGCTTCGACTATACTAGTCGGCAGCGTCTCCTGGCCGTGCGCAAAAAAGTGTTGCTGGGTTCTTTTAAATGTGATCAAGTATTTCTCTATGAGACATTTTTTTTCAATATCACATTTCAAGCTACATTCTTCTATCACTTTAATTCTGTTTAATAACCAACAAACATCAATCGTAAAATGTTGGCATTACTTAAGCAACAGTAAATACCAGCTGCAGTATCATGGGCGGTAAATCAATTTTAAGAAAAGTGGCAACCAGCACTTCATGTTTTATTTATTTTTCTTTTCTTCTGCATCATACCTGTGAAATCATACCTGTGTGTCATCTGCTTACAAGTGACGCTTTTCAGCAAAGGTTTACAAAATTGATGATAGTTAAGACAAAAGAGAGGAAGAAAAATACACGTATCCGATGCTTACCTTCGCTGAAGAATTTCTCTTCCATTGGCGTCTGTATAAAAGACTCCGTTATTCTGGAAATCAGTGTCGAACCGCGTAATGATTTCCTTTCCAATCTCATCTCTGTATCAAGAAAAGGAGTAAGACCAGAAGTTGTAAAATCATCACAAAAGAAACTGTGCAAGAGTGAAGGATAAAACTACACTGTAATTATTTTTTAGAAACAAGTCAGACCGGCTGCAGCTAGTGTTACAGCCGTTATGGTGCCTAGAGGCCCCTGTGCTTACATTAAGGTGCATGTTAAAGAACCCCTGCAGATAGCCGCAATTTCCGGAAGTATTCACAATATCCCACCTCTGAAAATTATATCGTTTTTCATAAATGTAAAACCCTCGCTATTATTGTATTAAAAACAAGTCAGGGGGCAACATGAATGAAAATCTCATGAATTTTGTGATTTGAGACTATCCAGATATATCACTGCATGTGTCTATAGTGCTAGCGATCCCTTTTCATAATCTTTCAAATCAGAGGCTATCCTTATAGGACCCACAACTACAATTAAATTTTGTGAATTTAAAGAAATTCTCTATTTAAAGTATTTACATTTTATCATTAGCAGATAACTAAGGGTATGTAACTCTATTTTACACTACAGATATCTAATACCTAAAAGAATTGACAGCAAGAGGAAGGTTTGGCTTTGCACTTGGACATATATGCTATCAATACACAGGGTGCAGAAAAATTTCGAGCATTTTTCAAACTTATAGCGCACCCGCTAGGGTGGCCTAGAAGCTAAGGCATTTGGCTTCTGACCCGCAAGTCGCGGGATCGAATCTCCAGCCACGGCTGCTGCATTTTCAAGGGAGGCGAAAATGCTTGAGGCCCTTGTGCTTAGATTTAGGTGCAAGTTCAAGAACCTGAGGTGGTCAAATTCCAAAGCTCTTCACTACAGCATTTCTCTTAATCATATGCTAGCTTTGAGACATTAAACCCTCCCCAATTGTTAACTGTTAAACCCTCCCCAATTTAATTATTATAGCCTTTAGCATGCAACGTAGGGTCTGCAGTGGTGCCTATAGTCGAGAACAAATTTAGGAGACAGCAAAATTTCCTCATCAAAGACAGATCCACACAACGCTACAAAGATCAGCGACGCTCTAGACTGACGTCATAAGCCGGACAATCAGTGAACCCACCATCGGAGAACTTCGCCGAGTGCGTCAGTGGGACTATTTACCTATTGGCCGAACCATCGGCTTCTGCGCTTAGGGAATCGGTGTTAATTTGTCGCAGGTCACAAGATCAAATGCAGGCCGTGGCAGCCACTTTTTCGATGGAGCGGAAAATGCTAGAGGCCCATGTATACTTAGACATAGGTGCACGCTAAAGAACACCAGATAGGTGAAATTTCTGGACCCCACCACCGCAGCCTCTCCGGTAATTATATGGTGGTTTTGGAATGTTAAACCCCATCAATTATTATTACTTCTCAACCTGTATTCGACTACAGATGTCCTTGTTCTTGAAATGGCGAGCTGCAGAATGAAATCATTTATGTAAGAAACCACACAGAGCCCTTTAGTTTAATATGCTCAAGCTTGATTTCCAACCTTCCATTTGTCGCCTCAGAAGGCAACTGTCGTTCCGCTCACAAACCTCGTTTCGGTCATTATAAAAAGTGCGAAGGATAGCAATGTAAATGACAAGCCACCTTCTGGGTTTACTTACGCCACAGGAATTGAGCCAACGACCCAGTCAAACTCGACGAAATCTGCATCGTCGTAGACTCGTATCACTTGCGTCAGCCAATCCGAGAACCTTTGGTGCACTTCTTGGACAAGCGAACCATTTTTCTAGGGTGAAAATGAAGTCGCCGTGACTTTCACTTAGTTGCCCCATCACGAGGAAGGCAAGTCAAATATGTTTACATCATTCTCTGGTCGGTCACAATGCAGTAATATTTATTTATTTACTTATTCAAAATACCTTACAATCCCAACAGGGCATTGTGTAAGTGGAGCATAAAAAGAATACACACACGAATTGATACAATTTACATACAAACAATAACATGAACTAATTGTCAATTATTATACAAGTCTTAACAGGAATAACAATTGTATCATTACCTCATTATTGAGTGATTAATACGACTGACATTAACCACATATGTTATCAATTACGCTGAAAGAAACCCCTAAGCAAGGAAGGCACTTGTTAAATGTTAATGCTCAGATATGACAAGAAATCTCAAAGGGTATGTATATCAACAAACAAATGAGCTAAGTACCACATCATGCAAGCGCAATATTTTTCTCAAAACTTATTACAGTGAAGCCATGCATTCTTTAGTTATATTCTTCAAGAGCAAACCAACGTAAAACACCATTAAAGACTACCGTTATAATGCACTCTACGAGATACATGGTACCAGTGCCCATGAGGTTAGAAATCAAGGAAAAGTGTGAAAAAAACCCGAACCGACATAAACGTACAAAGTACTCACGCATTTATCTCAAGCCACACTTGTTCAAGTAATTGTCACAAATATAGTAAAACTTTACATGCTATATTTCTTTCTTATCTTTTTACCTCTAATTCTTTGCACAAGGCCAGGGGCCCAATGCCGAAGCTAGCGTCGTGCCAATTATGCAGGGTTTCCTAGAGATTTCACAATCAGTTTTTAAAACAGTTAAAAAAGATAATTTGCTGTAGAAAAATCAATTAAAGTGCATATCAGCAATAACCTTACATAATTAAAGTCAGTATTTTTTTCATGACAGAGTGCCATCAAAATGATTCACTTTAGTTTCTCAAACTTTTTATGATTATTTAAATTGCAAACAAGTCAACTTTAAGTTGTACACCACCTTAAAAACCTCACAATCCAGAATTTACTTCATGTTAAAATCTTCCTGGTTGTCTTTCTTGACAAATAAAAAACCTGTGTAGCATGCGTCATCAATCTTTGCGGGGAGACCCTAACTCCAACCTGCAGTGTAAGATAGCTGTTCATTACGCCAAGACACTTTCGAAACGCGATCGACCAGATGAAGTAACAACGCCGCGCGCTCATTGGTCCGCTGACCCCAGCAGATATTTACCGACAGGACGACGCAACTTGAAGACAAAAATGTGTTGCTATAGCCAGCAACACTTCGTGGGAAATTTAAACTTTCTAGTCAGCAAGCGCAGCCATGGCTTGTTAGGGAACCATTAGGAACTAAAGCTGGAAGTGTACACACTCTCAGCACGTCGAGTTTGTACACTTCCAATTTTAATTCAAGTCGTGACCAGGTTAGTTACCAAAGCAATGTCACATGCGATAGATATCCGGTGCCATTGCCAGGCCAACAGGCACGTGCCGTTATAACTTTATCTGGTCAAACGCACCTTGCAAGCAAGCCGAGAAGTTGTGCCCTAAACCTAACCCCTTCATGAAAACAAATGGAGGGGAGAGGGGGTTTATGGTTTGAAAATTTGTTGGTCTTGTTCTAAGCCAGGAACGCCACATTACACAAGTGACATGCGGAAAAGTATCATACGATTTGGAAGGGGCTTTTAGTAGTAGTCTTTAGACGCAGCACAGTTTCTTCAATGACTGATGCCTGTAACACCACATACTTTGAGTACTAATATGGTCGCTGATGTCTAAAAAGTTACTGTCCAAATTATATGGAATACAATATGACGTCTCTGCAACCGTAAAATGTCAAACATATTCTTTTTTTCCTGTTTTACGAATCTCATGGTCACCATCTTGGTGGATCCACATTTGAATCCTCAGACTGTCAAGCAATTTGACAGGCGTGGCTACTTCTAATGATCTCATCATTGTTTGCTGAGTGAGGAGAGAAAGTAACTTTTGTTGAAATAGCAGTGCTCATATTCACTGTGCATGATTTAGGGAATGTTGAATGGCTTGCACATATTGTTTTCTGAATCTAAGCCTTCTTTCTCAAGCTGCTCTAAATTCAGTATTTCGTGATAAAGAATTGTTATTTTCTCTTGTCTTGTTCCAAATATTGGTTTTAGTGCTAAAAGTAACATTTCGCTGCTCCTGAAATTCTTTCTAATTTTATTACGGCTGTTTCACCCCTGGTATAGCGAAAAATTAGAGCAGTGGTAACAGAAGGGAGATGGTACATGTACAGTAACGTATGCTGTCGGGCTAGTTGGTGTATAGCTGTGTAAAAGATTGTTGGCGCAAACTTGACAGAAGAAGAAAGAGACACAGAAAAGCGCGAACTCGCAGCTGACTTTTATTAAAGTGTAGCTCATCTTCTGAAACCCTCACGCATGCGTACAAACACTCAAAAAGCACAAACAACTATCACCACAACCTATCATTGCAAGGTGTGCTCGTATCAACCATTACGGAAGAGCACGAGAATCTTGTGAGAAACAAAGACAAGGTTGCACGTGAATTGGCATAGACAGTGTACATTAGGCAATTTGGTGAATAGTGTACCAGTGTCCCGTTCTTGTCTATATTTCACAATGAGTTAGCGTTTTTATCTGATAGGTTGTGATGATGGTTGTCCTTTTCGTGTGTTTGTACGCATGCATGAGGGTTTCAAAAGTTGAGCTACGGTGTATAAAAGTCAGTTGCAATTGTGCGCTTCTCAATGTTGCTTCTTTTGTGTTTTTTCATGTTTGCGCCAACAATGTGTTACATAGATAACATGCAGCATGGGAGAAAAAAGGCAAAATGATTATAGATGAGGAGCAGTTAAACAAGAAACAGATAGGTGTTTATGTAGTTACAGAAACACACTGTAGAGACTTGGAAGAGCCATCAAAAATTGGCACTTAAATCTGGCAAGGATGCAACAGGATCGTATTGGAAAAGAAAGGTGGGGGAATTGGAATGCTAATCCATAGCAAAGCCAAATTGGATAGTGAAGCAACTGTATTCAGAGCACCTCTGTATTTCGGGCACAGTACGTAAAAAAAAAGCATGACTGGCAGGGGTAGCTTACTTGTGGATGGGGAATAAGTGCAGAGAAAAGAATCTAGAGATAGTGAATTTCATTGGCACGGATAATAAAGAATTGGGTCATGGAGCAGCAATAATCTTTCTAGGAGACATGAATGCTCACATACATGACCTTGATGTATATTAAGACAACAACGACAAGATATTGCTGGATTTCTCTGAGCAGCATGGTCTTGATACACGCCGGGCCCAAGTGTAAGGGGCAGTTTACGTGGGAAGTCGGACACAGGCAATCGAGCATTGACTATTGTCTCGTCATAGAGGGAATCAATGACAAACTTAGAAAGATGAGAATAGACGAGGAAGGCATTAAGAGCTTTGGTAGTCATCATAAATGCGCAACATTACAACTGCAATAGAAAACTGAAAATAAGAACAAAAGTTGGGTAGCTTGTATTTAAATGACACACAAATAACAAATATAGCCGTAACAGTTGAGGATGAAGCAGGAAAACTACCAAGCAAGACTGGTAGTATAGTAAGCGGTTACATGTAGTGAGGAGGGAGATGAAAAAAAGAGAATGAAAAACTATTTGCTGAAAAGCAAAGAGAAAGGCAAAACGTTTGTGGAACGAAAAAATGCGGGAAGTGATCATGAAACAACGCAAGGCATCATGGGAGCACAGACAGGCAAAAAGAGAGAAGCAGCCACAGGATGATGTCGGCTAAATGTGAGAAATATATTTATAGAAAAAAGTTATTGTGCAGAAATTGGCTGAGGCAAAAGTTAAAAGTAAAAGTGATTGCTGGATGACAGAGATTCGCGAATAGAAGGCCGTGCCCTAGAATATTTTGGAGCCATTAAAAGTGCTAGGTAGCAAGTGGAAAAGTGCTAGGTAGCAAGTGGAAAATCACAATGCAACAACATCTCGTTGATGAAGAAGGAAATAAATAGGAAGGGTTTGAAGCCCAAGGTTACATCCAAAAGGTTCCCACAGATTCGTTTAAAAAGGTTGCCCAGGGCATTTCTCTTGGTGAGTGAAAGTATGCAAATAACACAACCAAGGAAGGTGTAGTACGCGACAATTTCAATTGGAAGAAGGCCAAAGGAAAAATTTCTAAGCTCACTACTCTGGGCTTTGATGAGATTCCAGTCAACCTATATGATGAACTAGGAAATAGCACTGCTGAAATTTGTAGAAAAATGCTTACAGGAGAGGGAAATACCAGACAGTTGGTGGAAAAGCAGAACAAACTTAATCTCTAAAGGCAAGGTAGAAAAGGTTAACATTCGCTCGTACAGACTGCTACAGGCGATACAGGCAGTAAAATTGAAAATAAATATGTTAGCACAGCAAAATGATATTTTGGAAGAACTTCAGAATGGATTTCGAATTGACAGGTAGCTAGATGATAACCTGTTTGTTCTAAGTAAATGTATAGAAATATTTAAAGTAAAAAACAGGCCCTCATACATAGCTCATCTGGACATCACTGAGGAGTGTGACAACGTTAATCAAGTAATTTTGTGGTATATATTGAAGGAAATGCGCATAGGTGAAGGTTGTATAACGCTTTTGAGAGAGATATGTCGAGAAAATGCAGTGTGCATGGAATGGGAAAGAATAAGTAGCAACGACAGTATTGAAGTTGGGAAGGGGCCGAGACAGGGATGTCCTTTGTCCCCAAAGTTATTCATGCTGTTATGCTGAGGATGGAAACAGCGCTATAAGGTAGCGACATTGTGTTTAGTCTGTCACAAAAACAGGCCAGCGTGATGGTTGAGCACAAGCTTCCAGGTCTCTTTTATGCTGAGGATATTGTCGTATTTACGGACAGTCAAGACGATATACTGCAGCTGGCATATATATGCGGAAGGAAAGGCGAGACACTAGGACTAAAATTTAGTGCAAG